AAAATCTGCTCTGCACTTCATTTTTTTGCTCGCATGTCTGGTAGGCTCTGCTCTGCTCTTCTTCCTCGCACGGGTCTGGGCTTCGCTTCTCTTTTCCGGCGCCTCTCACAACCGGCTGTGTGCGTGCGTGCTCCTGCTATTTTCTTTCTCTGCTTGCCCTGACCTTATTTTTGGGCTTATTTTTACTTATTTTTTTATTATCATACTATATTTTTTTTGTTAACCTAATTTTAAAATTATTTTAAAAGAGTTAACTTTTAAAAGTTAATTCTCAGTGTTTTGAATGGCGAGAATAATTTAGGAGAGATTTTTTTCTTAAATTTAAGCAAGATTTTTTTGTTAGATTATTATATTTTTTTTATTTTTTATTTTTTGGTTATTTTTTAATGAAGAAATAAAATCCCAACCCATAAAAGATTATCTAAGTTAAAAAAAGAATTAAACCTATTAATTTAAAAATTTTTTAATTTTTTTTGAAAATATAATCTAAAAAAGGATTAAATTTCATTTTGTATTTTATATTTTTTAGTTGAATTTATATTTATTATTAAATTAAAAAAAATACCCCAAACAAAATACGTGTTCACACTTACTATTCCACAATTCACCCTAAAAACCAAGGTAATCATGGGAACCACCCAAAATGATTACCAAATTTGTAAAATTACATAAATAAAATCTTAAGCTTTTAAACTTTCAAATTATTCCAATAAATTTTTATAAATCAAGAATTAAAGTAGAAAAAGTATGCGAAAGCATGGGATTCTAAAAAAAATCAAAGTATTTGCATTATAGTTAAAAATAACGAAACAATAGGAAAACAGGAAAATAGAGATGTGCCACAAATGTCATTCATGCATTGTGGCATGTTTCTTTTTGTGCCATGTACCACAGTTACATTGTACATTATGACAACATCCCAAGCAAATTTTCAAAACACCCCATTTCTTCATTTAATATCTAATTAAGGTGATCTAGGTGTTTATAAAAAATTTTATTCCAGCTTTAGATAATGGCACTAGTTTCACACTCAAGTTATTTCTCAATCAAAGTTAGACACCATTTCTCAATTCACACAATTTTTAATTAAAACACAATTTGACTGTCTCATTTCCACTTAAAGTGCCAAAAGACTAAACTTGACCGTAGATCATACTCAATAGATTCAAGGACACTTGTGCAACACAACATCACATCTATCACATTTTTAATGCTTAACCCCTTAATAACAAAAATAGAAGGGGTAGCCTCACATTCATAAATCATCATATCATTCAACATCAATCACATACTTTCTCCCTTTTTTATTTGTACTAGTATTTCAATATTTCTAGTTTTTCACAATTTAATACATATATGACTTATGGCCCAAAATACACAACTTTACTCAAAATCACATAATGCAAGTAAGTATAACAATGATGTCTCCTAGTTGATAATCTCATAATTAGTTATACACTTTAAAATAATTTAGGCATACAAATCTATTATGATGAATATCCTATGCCTAAGGATGTTTCCTTTGATCCTACCCTGAAAAGCTAGCTCCTGTAATTGAAGAAAGAGAGAGTGGTAAGTATAATCACTCAGTGACTAAGATACATTTAACTTATGCTAATAACGTATGCCAATTAATTAACAAACAAGTGGTGGAATATACACTTATTCTGGTCAACACATCGATTCACTAAACATGATTTTAGTATAATACATTGTAAATTGCCCAAATTCATACTTTATCATCTTAATAGTTCATTTTCACATTTCGTAATTCCATTTTCACAAACATAACATTAATCATATAATATCACATGATTTCAATACAAGGAACATAATACAGACAATCATGTGTCTTTAATAATAAATATGTATGACCACACTTCTTTTGTATCCTCCTTATTCCTCCAAATGAAACAGTAGGCTATTATAAAGTGGGATCGTCCATGTGATGAGACTACCCTAGTCTTTCATACATGAGAAACTACCTGACCAAGTCACTCACTTGTGGGTCATAGTCTCCCCCCCCAAATCTCACATTGTGAGATGTCATTCTTCCTAAACTAGCTTTCTTGTTGAACAAGTGGGGAAATAAATATAAATATACAAGCAAGCCATCGAGCTTTAAATGGCAGCCATACCACCTGAATTTTATCTCATTATTTCTCTTCCTAAGCGGACTCCCTCCTCATAATGAGATTGTTCCTTATCAAACAAGTGGCAAATAAATATACATATACAGGCAAGCCATTGAGCTCTAAATGGTAGCCATACCACCTAGACTTTATCTTCTTATTCCTCTTCCTAAGTGAACTCCCTCCTCATATGATTATGTAATGCACAAATGCAATATTTTAAGCATGCAAACACTATGTACGCATGCTTAATGTCATCATTGTACTCATATCAATTTGCAACACCATGTGCGATCATCATATTTTCAAATCACAAAGAATCATTAAACTCTGAATCACAAGTTATCACAGTACTTCACATTTTCGCATCATCATATAACCTCTCAACTTAACATCTCTCTTGTCATTTATGGCATATACATGTATATATGTGTATATATGCATGTCATTACACAATTTGCCAATTTATCATTGCAACAAATAACTAATTGTACCACAATCATTTACCATAACATAAGCCACAATTGCATTAAATGATTTCACAAATTACAAAATAGTTTATAGAACTATACAATGTAACTAATTAACATATAAAAGTATATAAAAAATTTCTCTCAATTACCTCAAACATTTGAGAAATCAAAAGTTTACTCTTCAAATGTATACTTCTAAAGCTATTCCAATATTGAAAAATGCCAAATTGTGATTAATCTACATTTATTACATCAACAATCATCAAATCCTCATTAAGATAATTTTCAATATTAAACTTAACACTTCCAAAAACTCTAAAAAAAAAAACATTTTCCTCATATGCAAGGATACCCATAAGGTTTATTGGCTTTCTTTAACTCACATTAATTTCACATTAATCCCATTAAACTCCTAACTAATCATTAAAGACATCACACAATACTAACTACTACATTTATTATGGATTTTTAAGCATTTATTACCTCATAACTACCAAAACTCATAAAGCCATAAATGCTAGCTTTGAATAACTTAAATCACTCTTTTTAACTCTATTTAAGTCAATAAGTTTGAATTCATAGTCACATAAGTTCAAAAATCCACTCCTCTAACAAACCCTAACTTTCAAGCTCAAGTAAAATGGAAGAGGAAGGAGGATTTAGGCTTAAGAAGCTTACTTCTACTATTTAATAGCTTCAAATACCTCCTCAATGATGACCCAAGGTGCCCTGGCAAAGCTCTTAAGTTCCTCTTTATTTTCTCCTTTCTCTTTCATTGTTTTTTCTAATTGCAGAATGGCTTACTACCACAAAAATTGTTCATGTGGCGTATGCTATAGAGGAGTCCACTTCACATTCTAATCACTCATGCAACACGACATATGGTACAAAAGCCTTTTCTTATTTTTTTTTCCCCATTTCAAAGTTTGAATATTTAATTTCACTCCAAACTCAATCCTAAAACCTGAAACCACAACCCAATACATTCATTAGCTCTTTATAACTACACACCACATTAATTTATCTAATTAATCTCATTTAACTCAACTAATTAGGAGTTAATTTTTCTAAGATGTTACAATTAAGCCTAGAATTATTTATTCCCTTATACTTTAAGAATATTCAATCAAATCCCAATATTATTTTGCTCTTAATGAAAAATTATGCTAGTCCAATATACTAAATTACTCATAAGTACTCTCTCAATTATCTATATGTATTTAGTTTAATTGATCCCTTAATCTCTCAATTAATAAAACCATCCATTCAACTTTAAAACTTCACAATTCTCACACCAATTTAACTCAAGTTTTACATTCAACTCTCTCAAGTATCAATCAGGTGAACCCAACAATCTAATTGAAGGCCAATCAACTAGAAGTTAGTATTAGTATAAAGTGAAATCAACATAATCACATCATTGATATAAAGGGAAAATGAGTAGTTAATTTATACAAATGATTCAAAATATTCTTAGAATCAAAGGTTTAGCTAGAAATGTTCATTAAAACCCATGAAAAATATAAATATATTAATACAAACATTGAACTCTAGAAATGAAGAAAAATAAAGAAGAAAAATCAAGACATGACGTTAAAATTTCTACCATATTTAAATCAAATTCAATTTTCCACCAAAATCAATGTTCCACCACACCCAAAATTTTCAAATACACCCACAAAGTTCAAAATGTCAACCAAGGTTGAGAATAGGTCTACATATTTCAAAATCCTAAATTTATCTACTAAATAAAACATTTCATTTTGTTGTCAATACTTAAATACTTATCACATCTTTCGTTGTTTGTGCTTCCCCAATTTGCATGACTAATCATCTTTCCACTTAATTTCTTATCTTATTAACCTTCCAAAAGCCTCATTTAAGGGTCCAAAAATACATCCAAACCAAACCTTAAACCAAAAACATCAATAAAATTAACTTTAAAATATCAATTAGAGCCATGATTTCCATTTCCAAAAATCACACAATTTCCTACTTGAGCACTCCAAATATGTTACAAATGTGTCAAAATATATTAAATTTAAGAAAATGTGTTCAAATAACATAAAATTTTAAAGGTTCACAAGCATCCTCAAAAAGCCATCCTTAAACAAATAATTAGATGACAACATGAGTTAAATTGAGAGGTGCTAATTCAACCAATCAAGGGGGTTTTAAATCATTATCTACAAAAAAAAAAGTTAAAATTAACTTATCCTAAAATCTTGAGTTTGAATCCTAAAACGCTAAAAAATATGTGCTAAAACGTCCCTAAGAGCCCATGAGATAGTTGTTAATAATAACAAAATCAGTTTTTAAATTAGTCTGAACAAGATAATAATCAGGTTCCAAGATAGAGCACAATGCAAAGCCCACTAGGTTAACAAGGAAATGAAAATAAACAAACAAGCAAATATTAGTGTAACACAGTTCAGTTTGCAATCCAAGTCTTCACATCAAATCCAGTAGATGCATGGCGCATCAAACGACAAAACAAGATGCATGTCTTAGGGTGCACTGCTTCAACTACAGCATATTAATTACTACATTCTTGGGACATAAACCATCAAACAAAAGACCAGTTCACGAACATAAAGCGATGCAATGAGCATTCTCTTCTTCATTGAGCACCTTCCAGGCCACAACTCTCTCATGTGAGACCGGACGCCCCATGCTTGAGAGACAGATACCACCTTGAAGGCAAGCAAAGCCCTAAAATGGAAGAATGAGAAGACATCAATAGAAAGCCATAGAGGCAAGACCTTTGATTATTATTTCAAAAAATATATAAGCAGACCTGTTGGATAATCTGGGGAAACTCGGAACAGAGGATCTTTCTCCCGTGATCATCAAATATTCTCTCCAAAGTCAAGTCTTGCAGTGCAACTAAGGTAGTCTCCAGCATGTCAAGCCTGCCTGGTTGGCAAAAGTGAACACTGGCATTGCCTGCATAAAATGGGTTCAACGGATTCAGAACATAAGAACCAGGCAATATTTAACAGAGAACCACAAGAATCAATATTGTCTTTTAACAATGAAAGGTCGGTCTCCTTCCACAGGGTCAAGCAGAAACTTATTCTGTAACTTAAGTAAAAGAAAGAAGAAAACCTAGGGATTTAACAGAAGGCAGAACAATTTGAACATTATCGCAGCCTTTGGCAACATATATAGGGGATTAAAGCCCAGCTCTTTCCCCTTTTTTTAGCACTAATGAAACGCATTTACTGTTATTTTGAATTAGATATCAAGAATACCTTAAAGTGCAGCACAATAGAGCATCTGAGTGATGCCACAAGGCCTTGAGTATCGATTCATTTCCCTCATTATTAGATTTTAACAGATCCACTCCAAGAAGCACCTAAAATGTAGAAAAGAAACAGTAAAGCAACAGCCGTCTTTGAAATGCTACCACATACCAGCAGCATAATCAATAGACGCCCTATTTCCAGCAGGGCCAATATCAGCGAAGATGCAAGGTCAAGGTTCGATTTGGGCTAGAGGCTTCCTGCAAAAATAATTCATTGACATTGAAAATGATTAAAAGAATCAAAGGGTAAGGTAAAGAAGAGAAAAATGTCTTCTTTCTACAGCGATTGAAGCAAACCTTCCCAGGATCAAGAGGAATAATGCGAAATCCTGAAGGTAAAAGTGGGGCATCATCAGCAAACGATGCATCAATTGGAGCAAATATAAGCTCAGCACAGGTGCCAAAAGAATTCTCATCCATCCCACCACAGAGCTGCCAAAGTAGTAGCAAAATAAAATTCAAGTTAGCCGCAGAGGAACATCATCAATGAAAACTTAATGATGGTGATAAAATGAAAGCTATCTCGTTCTAATACAAGTTCAATAACTAACAGAACCATACTAGCAACTAGCAAGTCATCTGCTTGATCAAAATTGTTGAGATATTTACTATAGATTTGTTTCTTCTTCAAGGAAAGAAAATAGAGAATTATACAATTAACATGGTGAAAACACGAGTATTGATGATATGGTCACAGTTTCACCTCCTACTAGAAGGAAATGTCAACGATAACAAAACAGTAGTGTATTATAGAGGTTGAGACTACAGTTAGACGAAGATCTATAGTCATATTTGGTATCCAAAACTACACTAGTTATACTCGTCAAGATTTAAAAAAAACAAAAAAAAAAACAACAGCTCATCAATATATCAATATAAAATCTATAAGAAGCTGTACCATTCATAAGTCATGAACAGTGTGACTCACCAAAGTTAACACGAGATCAAAATTAAGTTCAGGATTTACTGTAGACGTAGTTCAGGACTGAGTATAGACACAAAAGTTAAATGCAAGTCAAGACAAACACAAGTCATCGCAATACTTGGAATTCAGATCTATAATCCAAGTTTTCTCTGACTTTGCAATCCGTATATTGAGCTCAGTTATCAGTATATAGCATATTATGTTTTGGTTGCAGCCTATTGCAGAATGACTTGAAAATAATTCAATCCACGTAAATGGCAAGATGAACTCAAAGTCTAACTACACAATTCCAGTAATTAAGTATACAGTACATGAGGTACAACTAATAGGCTTGTTTATCCGCATAGATTCCACTACCATTGGCACAGATTCTTTGAAGAATGAAAGCATGACGCATAAGGAAACAAGCTTACTTGCAAAAGAAACAGCTCTCTTGCCATTATCATGTCCTCAGAAGAATGAGCTATTCCATCCAGTTTAATGACTTCCAGAAGCTAGCAAGAACAATAACCAAGTTAGTGCATCCAGCATTATCAAATTGTAAAACTCGCAATGGTTGTCTTGCAAAACAGGCACCAATATATCACCTCTTCATGCTCAATAGTGTGGGCAAGGGGAAGTATAACTTGACCTCCATAGTTTCCAACACGAGATCCTGGTAAGCTACAAGGACCAACTTTAATGGCAGCAGCTGAGTAAGCATCCATGTTGTTGTCTGCCCATTCAGATCTATGCTCCCTCAAAAACCTGAGGAGAATGGCAGGAGGCACATTCTGAACAAAGAAACAGCACATGCAATAGACAAATATAAGAGCAAAGTTAGGTGAACACAGGACTAGATGCTAAATAAGGCTGGTTCAAAGAGTTAATGTGTGCTCAACAGCTCATGCAATCACAAAAATATTTATAGGCACGGGTTCGCATAAATAGAGTAGATACGTCCATGTCCGAAAATTAATTACAAGAAGAAAAAAGAGATATCTTGTCTATCCATATTTTTTTTCTCTAGCTTGGAGGAAAATTTAAAGCATCCTGACCTGCAACAGCATTGATGCTTTGGCACATAAGACTGCATTGCTGACAGATGGAAATCCATTTGCAAAGGAGAGATTTAAACCCATTAATTTGTCAGGAGATGTATTCACCAGAACCATAACATCATCTACACCATCATTGCCAATCATTGACCATCCTTCATCAGTAAACCCATTTAGAGCCTCATTGAAACCCCTACAGTTAAATATGCTTGAGATCCCAATTATATATAAATAAATGCACAATAATCTTGACTAACAAGAAGAATATAATAACCTGCTCAATCGCTGGCTGAGTGCTCTTAAAGCTGCAGGGCGTCTGCCCCACCCATTGACATTAGACTGAGAGACCTCTTGAGATATCTGTCTAAGCTGGCGTAGGGCCTGAATGAAAAGGAAAAGGATTTGACGTTAGAACCTTGCCCATCCTTATAGGCAATACAACTATTACTCTGATGGTAAATATTTTCTCATCTCTAGCAATTTGAACTGAAGAACTAAGCAGCATAAGCATGTGAAATTCTGCCATTATTAAAGAGATACGATAACCATACCGTCATGGTTGTCTTCTGAGCCATCACTGTTGATGATTCATACAATGGACGCAGTACTTCAGGCACACTCCATGGCTAACATTGACACAAACATTCTGAAATCCTTCTTGTTAAACAATAATGGATAACAAAAGTGAAAAAATTACTAAGATTAATGTACCTCCAAATCCATGTGGTCAACAATGTGTATGATAGAACCACCACCTTCACAAGGTCTTATCAAGTACCCACTAGGAAGCATCTCTGCTCTCACAAAATGCTGCACAGGTGGCATGCTTGGACCATTTTGAGTATTTTTAAGAGACCTCTCACAGACCTGAAGCAAGGCCGACAACAGAGAAATGATCTTAGAAAAACATTTGTGCAGGAGTCAAATGAAAATTTATAAGGTAAAGGCAGTGGCAAACAAGAAAGGCCAGTTATCAAGTACAGTTAAGTCAAAGTCGAATCTAAGCAACGAAATCTTTAATTGTTTTTTAAAAAATAAGTTATCTAGAGACACTAACCACAAGGCTGCCATCTTCTAAAACAGATGTGTAGCGCAACAACCAAAAGTCACGAGCAGGCGCCAGTGTTGTTGGCGCATAGAGCTAAGTCACCAGAAAACCAAGCATTCAATAAGTGGTCACAGATAGACATAATTCATAAAAAATTAATTTGAATACTACCTGCATATAAAGCAGCTCTATGGTTCCACCATTAGCTGTGGGCAGCACATTGAGAACATCAACAGCTCGGCAATCACGAAACCATGAAGGCCGGTCTTTGAGTATTTCCACAACCTGTTTAGATTGTAGTCACCATTAAATTTAGGGAAAATTACATAAAAGTCCCACTCAGTTGTCAATGGACTTGGGAGTAATTAATTATATTAAATGGCACCTTAAAGTAATTATCTCTTAAATTTATTAGCTCAAGCAAGACAACCAGCAAAAAAATATCATATCTGAAGCACTTACCCTTGTGGGCTCAAGGCCCACTAGACCACAGGCTCGCGCTGCCACACCAATGCAACCATGAGAAATAGCAACGATTCCAATGGAATCCGGACCAGGCTGTCCAAATCAGCAAGTATCAAGAAGAAAACATAAATTTCATAATTTTCAACCAATAAGGGGGGACCTTTCATGCTACTTAAGAACGCAATGAAGCTTAAACCGTGAATTAAGCTGACTCAAAGCAAATCCGAGTTATTCTATTAATGATAATGCTCATGCTCTTTAACCAATCTGTGCATGGCTCATTCCTAAAGAATTGAATAATAGAACAATAGAATAACTACTTTGTCACTTAATGAAAAGAGGTAAGAATTACCTTCATTCCAGGCATCTGGACCCACTCAACAGCAGTTCCAGTAGCCTTTGAAAGAAACTCTGCTAAAGTTTCTTCTGCTATGGACAAAAGTCTGAAGAAAAAATAAAGGATGATTTCGCAAGTCACAGACACACAATTAGGTGATGAAGGACCACAAATACAGATGGGGACATTATCTTATTCAACTAACCCTGCAGGACTCGCATCCCTAGGGGGATGCTGTGCTGTCAAACTCTGTTGACCACTCGTCACCGCAGATTCACAGCTTGTGTCCTTAGTTGCAAGTGTTGTCTGAAAACAAAGAGCCTTTTTAATTCAATTATTTAAACCATCAGCACCATAGAAAGGTATAATAGAACAGTTGAGCCCATGACTGATAAATTACCAAATAAAAGCTCTCCGGCGGATGCAAAGCTTTTTTATAGTGGTTTACTAATATAAATAATATTAATTAACAAATCCTAATTACAAAATTGTATCACTCTAACAAACTAATAGCCCATCAGGCAAAATTCTTACATTTTGTGGGTTTTGACGAAAATAGCCATTTTCGTACACCAATTGAGACACCTGCTTCTGTAACCTATCATTCTCCTCCATCAAGAGCTTGTTCAAGGCCGTCAGCTTCCTATTAACTGCTTGAAGGCGTAAAGCCTCTTTTCTCTGCTTCTCCCTACATCTGAAATATCAAAAATAATGCAATCGGCATCATGCCAAGAACAACTACAAAAGTCAAGGTAACGTCATTTAAAAAACAAAAAAAAAAGGAATGACCATTAAATTTTATAATTAAATGAGTTGACTAGACACTGTAGTCGAAACAGAGAGCAAGCAAACCGCACCAGCTCCAGATCACCAAAATGTATAGTTCATATAAGTTAAGAAAAATGGCATTGACCAGATACAGGAAAATTGTGGTATAAAAAAGAAAAAGCTCTACTATATTACTCTCACTCGAACATAAACAAAATAGAACATGATATTATAAAGAATACCTTCTGTTCTGGAACCAAACTTTAATTTGCTTCGGCTCAATGTTTGAGAGAATTGGGCACTCGCGGATAAGCTGCTGGCGACGAATGGAAGTAGGTTTGGGGCATTCGTGATAAAGCCTCTCAAGGGCTTCAACCTGCTCAGGTGTATAACGGACATACTTACCGTTGTCCAGTCCTATTTTACCATCCTTGCAGGACATTGCCATAACCAGTTACCAACAAATTCAAACTCCCCAACGAATGCGAGAACAAGCTCAAGCAGTTCCACCAATACTTCGAGTACTTTCGGTAGTTCAGCTACAGCTTAACCTGCCACAGAAGACCTCTATGACCAAGTATGCATTCACAAAAGTTTGTGGAGAGAGAGGCTGCCTGAACTGGTACGCAGTTATCCTTGTTTCCCCACTAAGAAACAGCTGCGAACACGAGGAAACATAAACCTCTCGAGATCAGAGATCAGGAGACCAACGATCTGATACCCAAAAACATTCCCAACACGAAAATATTTCCCATAATTACCAAATACATAAATATAGCACTAGATTCGATTCAGCCAATCCAAAACGTCATATCTCAAAACCGAGACCCCCGAAAAACAAGAAGGTAGTTTCTTGCTCACGAAGTGAAAACCAGCCAAAACAACACAGCTCCGCCGATCTTCATGGTCATCAAGATTCCCAGTCCAGCTAATAATCTATTGGATTCCCGCCTGATTTCTGAATCATATTTTTCTTTTCCCAGCTTTCACAGAGCAAGCGCCATTGACAGAGAAGTACAAAAGAAAATAGAGGAACGATCAAAGGGAGATTCTGTTGAAGCTAACGAGGGATCTCTCTCGGGCATGTGGACATGCTTTTTTCACCAACCAACCATTGAGTTAAACTATAAACTAATAAATTAAACTAGGAAAGATAAAGAGGGAACCCTAGATGGAAGAGAAAGTGAAGAGAGTAGGAGGGAGGTGGGTTTCGCTTTATGGTTTTTCTTCCATGTGTTGTTTTAGTGTTCTGGGATTTGCTGTGTTGGTTTCATTGGTTCGTCACTTTCGGCTCACAGGTCTTTGTTTAGCTCCACTGTTGGGAACCAAACGGACCAAAAAATCTTACGGACCATTATACCCTTTTTCCCGCCCTGCCTTCATCACTCTTCCGACACTGCATGAAATTCAATTCAATGTTGCAATTAACAAGTATATACTCGTGTAATGTTTATCACAATTTTATTATTTAGAAATACTTAATCAGTAAATATTTTTATCCATACAAATTAATAACTTTAAAAATGTATAATAATATTATATTAGTTTAAATTGAAACCTTTTAAAAATTATACCTATCTTCAATAGTTAAATTTTATTGAAACACAAAAAAAATATAAACGTTAACATAAACATATGAATACATTTGATTCAAAATTGTAATATTCAAAACTCGGGAGTGTCTAATAATGATTTCTTAAAGTTAGGTTAGTTGATATGGAGAGTGGTAATATTTTGTGAGAAATAAACATAAGAGGAACACTGGACGGAAGAGACAGTGGAAGTATATATTTGGAGCAGCAAGATTTCAAAATGGTCAAATCAATGTTAAGCAAGTAGAAGGGAGATGAATAGTTGTAGTCAATGATGATGGAGGGATGGAATCATAAATTTAATATGTAGAGAAAAAATGAAAAGGAGAATAATAGGAGGGAGGAAGGGTAGTTTGGGAAAAGGAGGGGAAAGACAGCATGATGAGGTTGATTGCATGCGTCTGGGTTTGAAGACATGGCAATACTGCAAGAGACGCTCATTTTTTAAAAAATAATAAATAAAAGGGAGGGTGGCGTATCAGAAAAAGAGGAGTAGGCGATGATTATGGGATCTGAGACGCACACATGTACATGAAGTATTCTGAAGGTCGTTCGTATCCTGTGACAAGACTTGCTTCCTACTTCTCTACTGTGTTTGTGTGCAGTGCCTTTTGCTTCTCTCCTTCTCTCTCTCTCTCTTCTTCTCTTTGACACGACCTTTGATTTGATGCCACATGATCTGAATTCTGATGTGACCTCCGTATCTCCCCCATTAACCATTTTACTCCAAATCGTATTCCGCCATTCAATCGTCAAGATATTCACCACTGCCATTTCACCCCGACCGATATAAAATATAAACATTTCTTATTTAAAATATAAGAAACTTGTATATGAAAAAATAATAATTTTTTCTCTTATATTTATTAACTTATTGTATAAAATTATTTTTCATCTATCACAAAGTAGATTAATAATTAAAAGTAAAATTACAACAAATTCTTAAACAGTACCTTAAATTTTTTTATTATTTATATTTACTCTGTTTAAAAATATCAAGCATTTTAATTAAATTTTATTTTAATAAAATAATTATTTATTTTTAAACTAACTTTATCTTTTATAATCATTCTTATTTAATAAAATATTTCATTCAAAAAAATATAAAGTAATTTATTTAGTTGGAGCAATTTTAAAAGAAAATAATGATTACATTTTAAAAGACTAAAAATATTTTATTTTTTTTAATATTTAATCTCTCAAAAAATATTTTATACTTTTAAATAGAGGAAATATGTATTAATAACAACTAAATAATAATTCAAAGAAGGCTATGATTGAAGGCGAATTAGAGTCAAGAATAATGTCAGGCCTGGAGGGCCTAACTTAAGGCTTTAGTTAAATAATATTTGGGTTTAAAAAAAATTTTTTTGAAAAATCAAGCTTCTAAGCCCAATTAAGCCTTGAAAAAAAGAGTTTGGGCTCACGACCCTTCACACACCCTATTCCCAAAAGATTATGATTTTTTCAGTATTGTATTGTCAAAATAATTGATGTTGGTTCATTTACCATTTATTTTAACACATATTGACAGATTTTTTATTTATTTCTTAAACACGATTATTTTATAAGGTCTATTTTTCAATTATGATTAATGTTATATTCTATGATACATAAGTTTTTTTATATTATCGAATTTGATAAGGTTGATTTGAATTGAAAATTTTTATTTTTATTTTAAAATTTGATTAAAATTCTATATATTTATTTGTATATTAGTTATTTTATTAATTTTTTAATTTTTTTAAAAAATAAAATGAATTTATGAACCCAACCTTGAATGCTTCAAATGAAGGTTAAATTTTAAAATTGATCATTTTATAAAAAAAAACCTCAAATGTTTGAGCCTTTGAGAGTAAGGACTTTATAAGCTGAGTCCGCCTATTTTCTTACCTCTACGGAATAGTGTTGATTGGACTCTTGGTATTGGTTGATGTTCGGTGTTGATTCAGGTGTAATTGTTTTCGGGTCCGTCTTTGGTGCTCATCCATACAAATAAATTTGAGCCATTCAAATTAATATGAATGGCCCAATTTAAATTTATATTTATATTTATTAAAATAAAAAATTATTATTTTTATAAATAGGTTAACCATTGATCTGAATAGTATTAATTTAATTTAAATGATCTAATTTAATATTATAATTTTTTAAATTGACTATCTACATGTATTTTAGACAGTTTATATTTGATATCAAATGTTTATTTGCAAGGTCCAAATTTAATTTTTATTTTTTATTTTGATGAAACAATATTAAAAAATAAATATATAATATTTTAATTATAACTTTTAAAAAATATTTTTTTAAAAAAATTACAAGTCAAAAATTTAAATCTGAAATGTACATAATACATCTGGATAGTCAATATATAAAAATATAAAAATTTTAATATTAAATTAGATACTATAAATTAAATATAGACTTAGATTAGTAAAAAATATTTATTAATTTTTTTTTTAATTTTTATAAATTTTTATTTTTAAAAATGAAATAAAATATTAAATTATTTCTTTAAATCTAGACCATTCAATTAAAAATTTAAATGATTCAGATTGTATCACTTTGATGAGCAGTGAAGATGGTTCCAATTGTTCTCTTGTAATTCTATACCACTAGGTTGTAGTATTTGTACATCCCCTCTTTTTCTTTCCCCCTTTTTGCTAATAAGGTCATTTGGTTTTTGTTTTTCTTGGATATTATTGCATGTTATAAAGCGTGCGGGCTACCGGGGTTAAACATGGATGATGATGAGCTTTTTTGGGATTTAAGTCTTTTCATGTTAATAATTCTTTAATTTCGTTAACTTTTGTTCGAGAGAGAGAGAGAGAGAGAGAGAGAGAGAGAGAGAGAGAGAGAGAGAGAGAGAGAGAGAGATTTTTATGTTATAAAAATAATAAAATGAATAAAAATATTAAAAAATTCACCTAAATTCATGAATCTCAATTTTAAAAAATTTAAATCCAAGTTTTTTTTTTTTTTTTTGGGGATCAAAGAAGGATCACCATGGTCAACAAGGAGGGCAACAGTGCTTGGTGGCCAGAATTGGTTGAGTTTGATTTTGCCATTCAACTTTGCCTCCTACAAGCCGAGTGCTAGTTTATAGCATTTGCAACTTCTTCGCAGATGTTAAGAATTTTGAAGCCACATATGGAGTGGAACTCAGTTTGCATGTGTATTTTAAGAATGTTTAAATTTGAACTTTTGTCAGAAGGTGATGTGAGTAAAAAAAAAAAATTGTTGCTTTGGTTTTCTCTATCACTTTAGAACTTGATAATTCTGCTTCCTGCTTCTCTCTCTAAATTATACCAAAATAATTCAAGTCACTCTGTCGGATTCATCTAAATAGTTTATATATATTAGATACAGGACCTTAATCCATTTGTTTAATATTCATCTCCATATAATAGTTTATTTTACTTAGTTAAAGATTTGGGCTAGAAGGCTCTGTATTGGTTTTGGGCTGCAATTTGGAATGAAGTAACAGTTGTTGGTAGTAGCTCTTGGGCTTGGAACATCCTAATATCACCTTCTGGGCTTGGTTTACCAACAGCATAGATGTGCTCGAAGTGTTGTAGCTAGGGGTTTATTTTATATCCATACTTGTATAATCCATGTGCACCCACGTCATGACATGACTCATGACTTACTTTCGCATCAAGCCTATGGGGCAATGTGAGGTAAATTAAATTTATATCAAGCAGGTGGTTAAATAGCACCAGATTTATCTGTTATGAGAATTAACTCCTGGTAGCATGAGACAATGGTATATGTTGTTATATGGAATAGATTAGTAGCTATCAAATAATAGCAAGTTGTTATTGTTATGAGAGTGTTACAAGTAAAATGGAGTTTATATATATGTGTGTTTTGGAAGCTTTTAAATGAGCTTTTTCTTTGGATCTATAGTTATAACATTAATATTTTTATTGTGAGGCTGATGTTACGAAAAGAGTTTCCCACAAAAGTTTTAAAATCTTGCAAGTGAAATAAGGTTTATGAATTTAAAAAGTTCTCCCACTTTAAAGGCTTATTTTTTGGGCTGAATTATTTTTTTAAATTTGTGCTTATAACATTATTACTACATTTCACATTAGAGAATCTTAAAAGTAAATGGAATTTATAAGTGTAAGAAGCTCTGTCACCAACCAACGAGGTCAAGTGAAATGATATGAAGCAGAGTCAAATGCCAATGAGTTATCCTTTTAAACTGTTGCTTGTAACACATGGGTACTCAATGAGAAAGAAATCATTTTAAAATCACTAGGAATGAAATATAAAAATTAAGAAATGCAATTAACATATTAAAATATTAATTATGTTTTAAACTTCCTCATAATGAACATGTAGAATAAATTAAAGTTTTGGGGTAAATAATAGTATAATAAGAAAAAATTTTCTTTTCTAGTAGCATAACAAGAAAAATCTTAATAAATGGTTTTTTGAACTTCAAAAAGTCATATAAAATGAAGCAAAAAATTTGTCTCCAAACGTCAGATTAATCTCTTATTGTAATGTATATCGTTAGAATTATTATATTATAATATTGTATGTTATGCATGGCCTAAAATAATGGTATAAAAAATATTCCAACAGACCACTGTAATCTTGATATTTATTAACAGCTACCAATTCATGTTTAGATTAACATAATTTGTTCATTTCCTTCACATAA